GTCGGTGTAATGCACTACCAAAACGCCCGTAACTAAGAAACAAATGCTAATTCGATGATGCCGGCTGGCACACTGATTCACTATGAATGTAGGCCGCACCCCCTAGCGGCAGAAGCTCGTACTACATCCGGTTCGCCCTCTATTGACACAGTCTTTAAACTTTCCGATCGCACCTCGTATATGAAAAGTCGATATTCTGTATCTGATAGTTTGTCAGTATGTTTTGAGAATTACTTGGTTTGCTGCTAACAACTGATTCCCTTTTTTGATGGAAATTTATGAGTGAGGATAGCCTGTGCATTGTAATTCTGGACATTTCGCACTGCACAACAAGCAGCTGAAGGTCTACTCTTTTATTAAGTAAGTCTCTTACTACATTAGAATATAATTACAAACAACATGTCCATAGTCTGCCGTAGGATATTATAATTTATTTCAGACTCTTTGAGTTAAATATTCGCATTTCACTGAGAAGTACTTTCTTCCTTTTATTAATTTTTATTTACTCGAGATATTTGCATGGGGAAACAAGGAAAATCTCACTCAAAATAGCTAAGTCTTCTGTCAGAAGTTTTAACATCGGGATTTTCGACTGAGAAGCGAGTTACTGTCTTTACAATAATAGAGGAAATTCATAATTTATATATATTTTTAATATTGTTAGGGTCGTTAGTCCTAAATGTAGATGGGTTATTTACAATATACATAAAGAAATGAGAATGTATAAGAAATTTTAGTCGGGTAATCGTAAATAAAGGGACTACATAAGAGAGTACGCATAGATACGAAGATAATTCTAAAGTTGGTCTTAGCAAAAAGGTGTAAATGTTTTACATGGATTGAACTGTCTCAGAATGGGGTCACATTTTGGTTTTTGTGAACACGGGCTCTTCAAAAAACTCGGGGTTTCTTAACCAGCTGACTACCTATAAACATTATAGGACAGACTGTGCACCGTTGAGTTAGTTATTACTGGGAATCAATGGCAAAATGCCAAATTTTTTTTTAAATTTAGATGCCGAATGTATTTTGTAAGACTATTAAGAAACAAATTCGGAAACGTAAATCATATATATTGAAAAGCAAAATATGGATGTGGTAATGGTGTGCAGCTCAGAGAACAAGGGACACGTTCATGTTTCGTTCCAACATTTCATATTCTTCTGCTCACCTACATTATTTCCCGCAATGAGAAATTTAATTTAATTTATTTATCAGAAATTGTATATTTATAAACGCACTGTTCTTCGAACATTAGCTAATGCTGTTTTCTGTCCTTGTCGC